GTATACTTCTATTTAGTATACTAATACTTTTGTGTGTCTTAGAGGCAGATGTGTGACTTTACTTCTTAGAGTTCTTGAGGACTGGATGTTGTCTACGTTTATTCAATCATTTAATTACTATTAATCAAGCATCTACAGTAAGAGGCAGTATAATGTTTTGGTTAAGCAAATAGTCTTTTGAGTTAGATCTGTTTCACATCCTTTCTCTGCTACTTTTTAGTTGTGTGACCTTGGAGAATTTACTTAATCTCTCTGAGCTTTTCTATCTAAAGTGGGCATTGTTGATAATCTGTTTCAATAATGATGATAGAAATAGTGACTCATATTTACTGAACATGCACTATGTGACATGTTATTGTTTGCACTTTGTATAATTTAACTCATTTAATCCTCACAATTCTATGAGAAAGGTACCATTTTCACATTTTCAGAAGTTTAGTTACTTAACCAATATCACACAAGTAGGAAATGGAGATGCCTAGAATAAAACCCCAGCAGTCTAGATTTTCTGTTTTTGACTATATAGAACTAGCTTGTTGTACTAACCCTTCCATCAAGAATAACTAAAAAGCAGAATGAAATATATTTCACTTTGGGAGGCTGAGGCAGGAGGATCACTTGAGGCCAGGAGGTTGAGCCCAGCCTGGGCAACACAGTAAGACTTGGTCTCTACAAAAAATAAAAATAAAATTAGGCAGGCAAGATGGTGAGCACATAGTCTAGCTACTCGGGAGGCTGAGGCAGGAGGATCGCTTGAGCCCAGGAGTTTGAGGCTGCATTGAGCTATGATCATACCACTGCACTCCAGCCTGGCTGACAGGCTGCATGTGGATATTCTGTTGTACCAGTACCATTTGTTGAAAAGACTGTCCTTTCCTCATTGAATTGTTTCTGGTGCATTGTCAGAGGTCAGCTGATTGCGTTGGGTGTGGTCTGTTTTTATGTTCTCCTGTTAATCAGTCATTTTCAGTCTTTGCCAATCTGATTAAAAGCTCTCATATACCAGCCTGAGCAACATGGTGAAACCCCATCTTTACTAAAAACACAAAAATTAGCTGGGTTTGGTGGCACACGCTTGAAAATCCCAGCTACTTGGGAGGCTGAGGTGGGAGAGTCGTTTGAACTGGGGAAGTGGAGGTTGCAGTGAGCCGAGATTGCACCACTGCACTTCAGCCTTGTTTTGGTGATTAAATGATACCACATCCAGCCAATATTGGGCTTTTGAACCATATATAAAAATCAACTCAAAATGAATAAAAGACCTAAATGTAAGACCTGAAACTATAAAACTTCTAGAAGAGAACATAGAGGAAAGGTTCCTGGATATCGGTCTTGGAAATTTATTTATTTATTTTTTTATATCAGACCAAAAACTCAGGCTACAAAAGCTAAAATAGAGGCCAGGCATGGTGGCTCACGCCTGTAATCTCAGCACTTTGGGAGGCCGAGGCAGGCAGATCACTTGAGGTCAGAAGTTAAAGACCAGCCTGGCCAACATGGTGAAACCTCGTGTCTACTAAAAGTACAAAAAATAGCCAGTTGTGGTGGCACACTCTTGTAATCCCAGCTACTTGGGAGGCTGAGGTAGGAGAATCGCTTGAACCTGGGAGGCAGAGGTTGCAGCAAGCCAAGATCACGCCACTGCACTCCAGCCTGGGTGACAGAGCAAGACTCCATCTGGAAAAAAAAAAAAAAGCAAAAATAAATGGACTGCATTAAACAAAAAAGCTCCTGCACAACAAAGGAAATGATAAAATGAAGTGGCAGCCTATGGATTGAGGAAAAAACATTTGCAAACCATATATCTGATAAGAGGTTAAAATCTACAATTTAGAAAGAACTCAGGCTGGGTGTAGTGGCTCATGCCTGTAATCCCAGCACTTTGGGAGGCTGAGGGAGGCCAGTCACTTGAGGTTAGGAGTTCGAGACCAGCCTGGCCAACATGGTGAAACCCCGCCTCTATTCAAAATACAAAAATTAGCCGGGCATGGTGGCATGCGCCTGATTTCCCAGCTACTTGGGAGGCTGAAGCAGGAGAATCACGTGAACCCAAGAGACAGAGGTTGCAGTGAGTGGAGATGGCACCACTGCACTCCAGCATGGGCGGCAGAGTGAAACTCCATCTCAACAACAGCATCAACAACAAAAGAACTCATACATCTTAGTAGAAAAACCACCCAATTAAAAAATACACAAAGTACCTGAATAGACATTTCTACAAAGATACAAAAATGGCCAACAGACATATGAAAATGTATTCAACATCATTAATCATCAGGGAAATGGAAATGAGAGCCACTATGAGATGCCATTTCACACCCATTAGAATGGCTATTATCAAAAGTTAACATAATAAATGTGGTAAGGATGTGCAGAAAATAGAACTCTTGTGTATTGATTGTGGGAATGTAGATTGGTGCAGCCATTATGGAAAACAGTGTGGAGGTTTCTAAAGAAATTCAAAATAGAACTGCCACATGACCCAGCAATCCCTCTTCTGGGAATATGTTCAGAAGAAATGAGATCACCACCTCATGAGGATATCTGCACTTCCATGTTTATTATAGCACTATTCACAATAACCAGGATATGAAAACAACCTGTTGACAGATGAATGAGTAAAGAAACTGTAGTATATACATAAAATAAAATATTATTCAACCTTGAAAAATAAGATCTTGCCATTTGCCACAACATGGATGAATCTGTTGGGCATTATGCTAAGAGAAACAGAAAGAAAAATATTGCATGATCTCACTTATATGTGGAATCTGGAAAAAAATGGTCAAATATACAGAGATAGAAAATAAAACTGGTTTACTGGGTGGGGGTAGCAGAGGAACTAGGTCAGAGGTTGTAGAATAACAGATATGTAGGATGAACAAGTGTTAATATACAGTGTTAAGACTGTAAGTAACGAAATTGTACAGTATTTGGGATTCCTGCTAAATAAGTAGATTTTAACTGCCGTTGCCACAAAAACAAAATGGAAAACTATGCAAGATGATGGATATATTGATTTGCTTCATTATAGTAACATTGATACACATTTTGCTATATGTATCCCATATATCATGTGATACACCTTAAATATACACAATCAAATGTACTTTTAGAAGAACAATAGAAAAATCTATACTAAACAAACTTAGTTAAACCAGTCCCTGTACTATGCCATGCCATAACTACCTCATAATGTGGTTGTTAGATCAGATAGTCTTCTATAGAATTTTTAGTACTGTCCTCCATGCATATTAAGTACCCAATAAATGTAACTCTTATGTTTCAAGCACCTTGTTTCCTAATATGCTTAGTGTTTTTCCTCCATGTTGAGCGGATATAGTAAGGACTATGTCCTTTGCACCATTGTATGTATTTGTCTCTTAGGTTGCTTGATTTTTCAGTAGCTTCCATATTTATACATTTAATCCTTTTTCTTATGCTTTCCGTTTTCATTTAATTCACTGCTATGGCTGCTGTTATCTCTTATTTTGAATCTGGTTTTTGCTTATGATAATATGTGAATTATTTTATGCAGAAGTAATGTCTTCTGTAATGTTTCTGAACTAAATGGCATTATTTTTGTTTTCTCCTGGACTTTTATGAAAGTATTTAGAATTCTTGTTTCATAATTATCCATATAGTGAATACAGATTTCCTCCATCATACATCAGTTGTCTTTTAGCATGAGAGCTTTTTATAGAATAGGTGGGGATGTAATTATTTATAAAATAATACTATATATCTGGTTAGAGAATCTTTGATCCTTTGCATTGTATGACAGTGTGTTGTACATTGGTCAAACAGCAGTTAGGGACTTGTCAAAAGACTATTGTGTTCTGCTCTGCCTATGATGTTTCATTTAGCTTTTGGGGAATTCCCATTGCCTTTTGTTGGACTAAAGAAAAGGATTAGTATCAGTCTTTAATTTTTAAAATAATTAAATCATTTTAATCAATTAAAATGTTGTGGCTCCCACCTGTAATCCCTACCCTTTGGGAAGCTGAGGTAGGAGGATTGCTTGAGCCCAGGAGTTAAAGACCAGCCTGGGCAGCAAAGTGAGACCCTGTCTCTACTCCCCCATCATCATACACAAATTAACTGGGCGTGGTACCTGCAGTCCTACTTGCTCAGGAGGCTGAGGCAGGAGGATGGCTTGAGCCCAGGAGATCGAGGCTGTAGTGAGCCGTTACTGCACCACTGCACTCCAGCCTGGGTGACAGAATGAGACCCTGTCTATGTATACACACACACACACACACACACATACACAGATACACACTTAGGGAATACAAAACTAGTTTCCCTAGACAAACAAAATTGATAATTTTGGACGGAATTTGGCCTCCTGCCCATATGCTAGTGGTTACTTTTATACCTAGGGAGTATTACGCCTTTCAGAATTTACTAAACTTAGTAAGGGTATCAGGTAGGCTTTTCTTTTGGGAAAAAGCAGCACTTTGGGAGGCTAAGGCAGGTGGGTCACCTGAGGTCAGGAGTTCAAGACCAGTCTGACCAATATGGTGAAACCCCATCTCTACTAAAAATACAAAACATACAGAACATGGGAATATAAAATTTGTTGTAGTTATTTTGGTGGGTAGCAATAATGACAACTATCTGTATCATCTTTTCTCTATATTGAATATGGGGCTTAATTCTGGAAATTTTAAAATAATTCTTTTCTTATAAATTTTACCTGATAGTAACAAAATTGTGTAAGTACTTGCAAATTAAGTAACAATTTCTTCATAGCAAGTTATCTGAAATGGACTACCAAGGAAATTAACTACTAGAGATGGAAGGTAGAACTCATTAATTTTGGTTTTATTTCTGTATTTATTACCATCTTTTCATTTCTCTTTGAACAGGTTGTTCCTTTCAGCAGCTTTTGATGCAATATAGGAGCATACTTTATAACTTGAGCAATTGTTATAAATTAAAAATAGTAGGAAAGTTACATCCCAGATTAATGACAGCCATGTTGTATTGTTTAATAGGCAGTGAAATCAACTGTGCAGACCATCACTGTTGGAGGAGTGAGCACATCACAGTTTAAGACAATTATTCCTCTGGCAACTGCTCCCAATGTCCAGCAGATTCAAGTGCCTGGAAGCAAGTTTCATTATGTCCGACTTGTTACTGCCACATCAGCCAGTAGCTCAACCCAGCCAGTTAGTCAGAATCCCAGTACAAACACTCAGCCTCTTCAGCAAGGTTAGTAACCATTTTTTAAAAACAGTAATTCTTGATTTTAACATGATTAAAGAACATTTGTCCATTTCTTGCTGAAATCCTGATGAAGAGTGGCATTTCAACTGAGTATGAGCCAGTAACTGGTGCAGAAGGCAGTGAAATAGAATGAGAGTTGTGTATAACTGTAGTATTCTTTCTGCTGGAAGTTGGTACACAGTGTGCTGTTACACCAGATAATAGTAATTATTTGTTAATTTGTGGTTAGCCATTTTATTGCTGGTTTTAAAACCTGCCATTTATGCCAGTGGGATACACTTAGATGGAACCGAATTATGTATTTTATTTGCTGAACTATAAAGCCCCTTGATAGGATTTGGGTCAGTTGAAATGACAAATAGGCAAGGTAAATATAAGTAAGAACTTAATGTCACTTTCAGCTTTTACTTATTTTGAATCTATAATTGCTACTAAAATAGTGATTAAAAGGCCAGGCACAGTGGCTCACACCTGTAATCCCAGCACTTTGGGAGGCCGAGGCAGGCGGATCACCTGAGGTCAGGAGTTCAAGACCAGCCTGGCCAATATGGTGAAACCCCCATCAACTAAAAATACAAAAATTAGCCAGGTGTGGTGATGTGCGCCTGTAGTCCCAGCTACTCGGGAGGCTGAGACAGGAGAAGTGCTCGAACCCGGGAGGTGGAGGTTGCAGTGAGCCGAGATCACGCCACTGCACTCCAGCCTGGGTGACAGAGTGAGACGCCATCTCAAAAAAAAAAAAAAAAGTGATTAAAATGTTTTATTTTGCTTAGTTGTATTTTCCCTAAAGGATATTCCTGTTTGTTGTCCTACTATTTTCTGTTTGTGTTTAACTCTTTTTACCACCTGATATACATCCATAGACACATAAATGACCTTTTTCATATTTATCTACTTTTCTAAAAATTAAAGGATATGAAAGGATCAGGATAGTTTATAGTTTAGGGCTTACGTGTTTCCTTGTTTTATATTCTAACAACGTCAAGAAGCAGCTGATGGCAATTAAATGATATATTGTTTATCGAAAGTAAATAGAAGAATTAAAGACTAGTTGGTTACTCTTTTTTATTAAGAGATCAGAGGGTAGGTCAGACACTGTGGCTCACTCCTGTAATCCCAGCACTTTGGGAGGCCAAGGATCACCTGAGGTCAGGAGTTTGTGGCCAGTCTGGCCAACATGGCGAAACCCCATCTCTACTAAAAATATAAAAATTAGCTGGGTGTGATGTCACATGCCTGTGATCCCAGCTACCCAGGAGGCTGAGGCAGGAGAATCACTTCAACCTGGGCGGAGGAGGTTGCTGTGAACTGAGATTGCACCACTGCACTCCAGCCTGGGCGACAGAGCGAGATTCCATCTCAAAACAAAACAGAACAAAACAAAACAGATCAGAGGGTAGTCTGAAGGTCATGAATTATCTTGATTGATTCTTCACAGTTACAGTTGGAACTCCTTGTTCTACCTTTTTCCCCTTCTTACTGCTATACTTGAGTAGTCTAAAATAAACAATAAAAAAAAAAAAAGATCAGAGATTTGGAGCTACCTGTTGCCAATAGCTGGTTCACCTGAGGGAACCTATAGAAGAATAAAACCTATTTATTTCTCTTTCAAATTACTGAAGGGAGAAAACAGTAAGCAGTATTTTAGTACATATTCTATTAAATTAGACACAGCAAGCAGTTATATTTTCTAATTCTTTTTAAAACTGATCGGAAATGGAATAAAATCATTATCATAATCTTAGTGAGGGGAAAACCGAAACATCCATATTAATGACTAAGGGAGTTAAATTTTATATTCTCTCAATACTTAGACTTAGCAGGGTACTGAGAGAAGTGCTGTAAGTCCAATCTACTTAGGTAGTATGATGATGATGATAGAAAAGTGGTCATTAGATACAACTGGTTGTATTTTATGTTTGTGTGTGTATGTGTATAATAGTATGCTGAGAATCCATATAATGGATTAAACCTAATTAATGGTAACATTAATTTATTCATTAGGAAGAGTATGCCTTTTGTATAAGGAAGATCCAGGAATTCCTCCTCTATAAGGAGGAATGGGATGGACATTTCAAAATAGAGTATTGGCTGGGCACGGTGGTGCACACCTGTAATCCCAGCACTTTGGGAGGCCGAGGCGGGTGGATCACTTGAGGTTGAGAGTTCGAGAACAGCCTGGCCAACATGGTGAAACCCTGTCTCTACTAAAAAAATACAAAAATTAGCTGGGCGTGGTGGCATACACCTGTAGTCCCAGCTACTTGGGAGGCTGAGGCAGGAGAATCACTTGAACCTGGGAGGCAGAGGTTGTAGTGAGCTGAGATCGCACCACTATACCCCAGCCTGGGCAACACAGCAAGACTCTGTCTCAAAAAAATAATAATAATAAGTAAGTAAAATTCAGTATTGACTGGTGCCTCCATTTCCAGCTTTATATCTGTCTTTCTGCCTGTCTCTACTTCTCTTTTTCTCCTTGCCACCTGGCAATCCCTCACCACTCTTCTGCTTCCCTTCAGGTTCCTTTTTTGCTTTCCACCTTGAACATTGCCTCTGTTCTCCCCTGTATCTCTCTGCCTTCTTCACCTCACTCTATACCCTCTTCCCACCCAGCCACATACATATACTGCCCATGTTATTTCCCTTATATCCATCTATATTTTTCTCTCTTTGTCTTTCTCTCCTGTCCCATAAAAGATCTGGATATATATAATATATATTATTTCACAGGAATAACAAATACAATTTTTATTAGAGTTACACTAAATAGTTGCTCTAGTTCATCAAATATATTAATGTCTCTTTATGAGGAATTTACTTAAATGCCAAAGGGGCTTATCTTGTACATTTTCCCCCAAAAGTTGTACAAGAACTAATGTTCAAAGGCTCCACCATGTTAATCACTAGTTCAATGGTGGGCAGCATAGTAGAAGAACTCAGGAAAGTGCTTGGTTATGCTTTTCAGAATACAGTCTATCATCTCGGTGAGGGAGGAAACCAATTTAAGAAGTTAAAACGCCTCAAACACTTGCAGGTATGGTTTCTGAAGTTTGGAAGGAGGCTATTCTAAAGGATTGTTCAGAGTTCCTGCCAAAGACTAAACACTAAACAATTATGTCAGCCTCTATGAAAACTGAAGTAGTAGTTAGTAATGTGTGCTAAGGTAAGGAGGAGGAGAAATGCAGACGGTTGACTTAGTTAAATAACATCCCCTTCCATAGGTCTTTTATAGTATTTTGTTTTATGACCACTTGATTTTATATTTTCTACATTCCCCAGGCTTCAGTTAAAACTCAGCATGGGCCGGGTGCGGTGGCTCAAGCCTGTAATCCCAGCACTTTGGGAGGCCGAGACGGGCGGATCACAAGGTCAGGAGATCGAGACCATCCTGGCTAACACGGCGAAACCCCGTCTCTACTAAAAACACAAAAAATTAGCCGGGCGAGGTGGCGGCGCCTGTGGTCCCAGCTACTCGGGAGGCTGAGGCAGGAGAATGGCGGGAACCCGGGAGGCGGAGCTTGCAGTGAGCTGAGATCTGGCCACTGCACTCCAGCCTGGGCGACAGAGCGAGACTCCGTCTCAAAAAAAAAAAAAAAAAAAAAAAAAAAAACTCAGCATGCAAGTGTCAAACCTATGTAAATTTGAGTTTCTAAGTTTTTTTTACCGGGCCAGGGAGGGTGTGTGTGTGTGTCTGTGTGTGTGTGACTCTGTGTGCACACACATTTGTGCATGTGTATGAGGAGAGGGCAGGGATAGTCCCCATTTAATGTGACGGAGGGCAGGTCACTCTCCTTCCCAGTTATTTCTCAGGACCACCAGGATGTTTTTGGATTCCACTGGTCATTGCTCTCACTTCAGAATCACTGCACTGTGCTCATGGAACAGCGACTGTCATCTCTCCCAGGAGCAGGTGGTGGAGGGAGTCCACTCTCCTGTGTCCTAAGCGGGAATTCAGGCTCTCCTTTTAATTCCTTCTAGCATTGCTGAGACCAATCTACAATGGTTATTATAACCTTGCTAATGCTTCAGTATAATTGAGGAAAATTCAAACAGAACAGAAACAACTTCAAACTAGGTATCAGATGTCACACTGCTCCAGTATTTCATACAGGAAGAGAGTCATACACTCTTTGTATAACAACCTTACTGAGATGTAATTCACATATACCATAAAGTTCACCCTTCAAAGCATACAATTGACTGGTTTTTAGTATATTCACAAAATTGTGCGACCATCACCACTAATCATATACTCTCTCTAGACATCTCCTCCTCTTCCTCCTTCCCCCTAGTTTGTCACCTTGCTGCAGTGGCCTGCTGCCTTTTAAATCAGAGTGCCTACTCTAAGATTCTCTTCTAGGACTCTCAGCTTTTTGGTCTTTAGCCATCATCCTTCCAGTCCCCACCAAAAGCAAACAAAACAAAACAAAACAAAACAAAAAAAACAAAACTGCTGATATCATAGTAGCCTTTCTATCTAAGGAAATTTATTCTTTGTTGTTTTGTTGAGAATTGTCTCAACCTCTCTTTCAGACCAGGCTCTAGGCCTTACTTTTACATCAATGAAACCTGAAGAGATGTCATTTCTATCTTCTTAAATGTCTGCTTTTAACAGTGGAAATGGCAGTAGGCAGTTTTTAAAACTGCACTTCTTGTTGGTCCAAACGTATATGTCTAGTGCCAATGTCTTTCCTGAATTTCATCCCAGTATTTCTCCATGTCAAGTTTCATCCTCCCTTTAAAACAGCTCATTCTTGAGTTTTTAGTTCTAATAACTGTCATTTTCCTGGTCACTTGAAAGCTCTGCAGTGGTTACATTTTCTTCGCTTATACCTACAGTTCCTACCATTCAGTGGTTGGTTGGTAAGTCATGATCCTTTCACCTACACCAGGTCTCCTGCATCTGCTCTCTCTGTTTTATTCCCATTGCTGTCACTCCAGATCAGACCCTCATTTTTGTGCACTCTTCTGACTTGTCTCTTGCAACTCCATTCTGTTTTATGCACTGCTGCCAAATACAATTAATTTTTCTTTATTTCAATATAATTTCTGTATTTAAAAATCCCTAGAAACTTCTCATTGCATACTGAATTAAAAATACAGATTAAATATAGAGTCCTACCCTAACATTCAAGGTCCTCAATAAATGTCTGCAATCTGCCTTTTTGCCTGTGTTTGTCTACGTTAATCCCAGGTATTAGCCAGATGGTTTGTTCACCAACATTTGTGACTATGCTTTGCAGCTTCCCAAGATTAAGCCTCCACTTCTCATGTTTCTGTCTCTGCGTGAAATGCCCTTCTCCAGTCTGTGTGCCCTCCATGCGGCCGGCCTATTGATTGGGGCCCATCTCAGTACTCTGTCCTCCATGTGCTTTTTCTATATTTCCATCCTCTGCAAATTATATATCCTCTTTCCTCTAAACTCCCACAGCTCTTCATGTATCTTCTTTAATAATATTTATCTTGGCTGGGCGCGGTGGCTCACGCCTGTAATCCCAGCACTTTGGGAGGCCAAGGCGGGCGGATCACGAGGTCAGGAGATTGAGATCATCCTGGCTAACACGGTGAAACCCTGTCTCTACTAAAAATACAAAAAAATTAGCCGGGTGTGGTGACAGGTGCCTGTAGTCCCAGCTACTCGGGAGGCTGAGGCAGGAGAATGGCGTGAACCCGGGAGGCGGAGCTTACAGTGAGCCGAGATCACGCCACTGCACTCCAGCCTGGGTGACACAGGGAGACTCCATCTACAAAAAAAAAAAAAACAAAACTATATATATTTATATTTATTTGTCTTATTTGGGCACCTGCCTAATCTGCTGAACTAGATTGTAATCTCCCTGACAGCAGAGGTCTAGTGCTTTAGGTTTCCTGAAACAATGTCCACAGTGCCATTTATATAGTAGCAGCAGTTGTAACAACAATGATGGCAGCTAATATTTAGTGAGCATTTACTGTTTGTTGGGCAGTGTTCCGATCAATTTTCATGAATTATCATATACTTAACCCTCGTATGCCATAAGGTAGATGCTCCCCATATTGCAGATGAGGATACAGGCAAAGAGAGCTTAAGTGCTTAGAAGACAGCAGAACTGGGATTTTAATGCCCTGGGTCTTATGACTTTAGAGCCCATGTTCTTATCCTTTTTGCTGTGCTGCCTTTTAGTATGTATTCTGTAAATATTGAATTACACTGGCTGGGTGCAGTGGCTCATGCCCATAATCCCAGCACTTTGGGTGGCCGAGGCGGGTGGATCACCTGAGGTCAGGAGTTCGAGACCATTCTGGCCAACATGGCAGAACCCAGTCTCTACTAAAAATACAAAAATTAGCCGGATGTGGTGGCGTGTGCCTGTAATTTTAGGTACTTGGGAGGCTGAGGCATGAGAATCGCTTGAACCTGGGAGGCGGAGGTTGCAGTGAGCTGAGATTGCACCACTGCACTCCAGCCTGGGTGATAGACAGAGCGAGTCTCCGTCTCAAAAAAAAAAAAGAGAGAAAAAAAAAAGACCCAAGAATGACATATTCTGTGGTTTGAATAGAAACAGCAATTAGAAATAGTAGTATAGAGTGCTGTTGTTACTCAAGCTTATGAATGACAGTTCTTTTATTTATACATTTCATTTGACTGGATTAGGTACTGAATGTATAAATCATCTGAATACAGATTGAGGTATTTTCATTTGAATGTCTTGAACCTACAAATATTCCCTCATAAAGTGGATAGACTGTAGCCACCTTAGATATAAGTTCTCTGGTAGATGGGGTAAGTGATTTTGAAAGGTAACTATCCTGATTAAAGATTGCTCAAATTAGGAATCAAATGGAATTCTTTAAGCTCTTTTATGAGAAAAACTTGGGAGAGCTAAGTATTCTTAAGTGTTTTAAATACTATTTTCTGTAAATAACTTGTTCACCCTTTTTTTGTTTTTTAAAAAGCAAAGCCAGTGGTTGTTAATACAACCCCAGTGCGGATGTCAGTTCCAATTGTCTCAGCTCAGGCTGTCAAACAAGTGAGTATCACATAACTTCTTTCTGAGTCTTTCCCAAATAGATGAGTTACTTTTTAAATAGAACGTTAAGATTTAGGTGCAAGAGATTTATACTGAATTGAACAGCTGTAAAATTTATTTTGTGGTCATTGATGTATGTCCCTTCTTTTTAGGTTGTTCCAAAACCAATCAATCCAACTTCACAAATAGTAACTACTAGCCAGCCACAGCAACGGCTTATCATGCCTGCCACACCACTGCCACAGATCCAGCCCAACCTCACTAACCTGCCACCAGGCACTGTCCTGGCACCGGCTCCGGGAACAGGGAATGTGGGTTATGCAGTGCTTCCAGCTCAGTATGTTACTCAGGTATGTGGAAAAAATGAAGTCATTGTATTGCAAAAGTGATAACGGGGTCCAAGATGTCTAGTGCTATCACAAAAACTACTCAAACACATCTAACTCAGTATTGAAGTGGCACTTTCCAAAATCTTAAAATGTTAACCCAAACCTTTAAGTTTATTTCTGTGTACCTTTAGCATTTAGAAATATATAACAGAGGTCAGATATACAAGTCAGACAATTTGGAGCTGAGAGCAGCTTGGCAAGAGCCCAAGGCTGTGGCGGTATGATAGAAAATAGACTGAAGTTAAAATCGGCAGAGTCCAAATGAATTTAGAAAAGACCGTGGCTGTTACAAAGCTCTTCCTCACACATCAGTTTGATGCCACTGACTTGGAAAATAAGTCCAAGTTTATTTATTGGAAAATAAACTGTGAGATGCATTTCCAGGTGACATATCTTTAGCGATCTGTCTACTCTTACTGGTCATCTTTAGAATGAAAGACAGGGAAACAAACCCACACGTGTACTTTTTAATGAAATATACTTTGGAATATGTTTTGTGGCTATTGATAAAAAGAATAACGTTCAGTATTTTTGTCATAAGCATTTCTAATGTTTAGAAGTTGGTGTAAAATAGAAACTCAACTATTGTGCATGTAACCTATTCTCTGTAATTTGTAGTGTGATAAATGATCAATATAGTACCTGTTTTATTTGTAAGTAGGCACATTACATTTTTCTAGCCAAAACAAGTTATTACAGTACTTCGAGAGCATTCATCTAGAATTTCCTATCATTCTGACATACTTAACTCTTCTGTGAAATACATTCTTTATATTTGTACTATGTAGTACTATAAAATGTTCACATTATTTTCACCTATAGTATTGGTTTGAGTCTTTAAAAGAGCTCTGTGGAGTATGTGTTTGTATGAAATTCTCCATTGTGTTTTTCTTATTTTAATAGATGAATTTGTATTGCTTACTGATCATCATACCTGAGAATATTGTCCGTTTTTGGAAATATGATCTAAAATTAATTTTCTTTACATGTAGCTACAGCAGTCTTCATATGTATCAATAGCAAGCAACTCTACCTTTACTGGAACATCTGGTATCCAGACCCAGGCACGGCTTCCATTCAATGGGTGAGTATTTTGAAAATAGGTACATAAGTTGTTAGATCAGCTTAAATGCAACAATAAATACATATATTCCAAACTACATCCTCTTTGACTTTTTTCCCCTCAAAGCTATGTGAGCATGCCTCTAAAATACTTGTTGAAATATTTCAAACAGAAAAATTACAGAAATAGTCAATTCCCAAATACTCTATTCAGGTTCACCAATTTTGCTACATTGGTTTTATTATTCTCTTTCTGAGTATGTTTCCAAAATGATGATGCTAACTATTTTTTATCTTTATTTTTCGAGACAAGGTCTTGCTCTGTTGCCCGGGCTGGAGTGCAGTGCTGTGATCTCAGTTCACTGCAACCTCCACCTCCCAGGCTCAAGCAATCCTCCTGCTTCAGCCTCCTGAGTAGCTGGAACTGTATGCGCAGGCCACCACGCTCTCCTAATTTTTAAATTTTTTGGTAGTGATGCAGTCTCACTATATTGCCCAGGCTAATCTCCAAGTCGGGCTCAAGTGATCCTCCTGGCTCAGTCTCCCAAAGTGCTGGGATTCCAGGCTTGAGCCACTGCACCTGCCCAACTATTTTAAAAATTATGTTAGGTCCTTGTTTTTTGTTGATGTTTATTTATCTGTTAATTACTGCCTTTGCAATATCAGCTTAGAAGCAGTGCTTAATTACCCGGAATCAGTCCACATCCCACTTCCATTTCCTCCTCCACACACTCCTTTTCCTCACTGCCTTTTTATACTTGAATCCCAAGAGTTTTGAGGCAATCTCAACTTTGTTTTCTTAGAAGGGACAGTGTTTGTGGAGTGTTCTTTAGCAGCTATTGATAACTTCTTTTTAAAAAATTATTCCATATCTTGTCTTTACCTCTTTTCATGTTACAACTGGCCTTTGGACCTAATGTAAACAGAACAACATAGCAAACTTTTTATTTTAGATGGACACATTTAACATTGGTTAAAACTTTATTTCTGGAACAATTTATAGATTGGAGACTTTTCTAATCTTAAATTAGTTTTAGGTCTAATTTTTAAAATTTTAAATTAATTGTAGCAACTAAATTAATTTTAGTTACTATTAATTGATTAAATGTATATATTTTTTCTATCCGTACAGCATAATCCCATCAGAGTCTGCCAGTCGGCCCCGAAAGCCCTGTAACTGTACAAAATCACTGTGTTTGAAATTGTAAGTGTTTTTGCTACTCTTTGCTCATTTAATATAATTAGAAATGCTCTTAAAAGTAAATGGAGTTAACTAAAAATTTTTAACAGACCAAAGCTTGTAAGTCTAAGTAATTTAAATAAACATATAAGTCAATGTTTGCACATATATGGCAGTATAAAAATATTTCATTCATTTTAGAAAGAAATATTAGAGTCCTTACTATACATGAATCACTGGAGTAGGGGTCAGGGACATAGCAGCATGAGACAGACATAGCTTCTGCCCTTAATAATGTTTGATCTTATTCATGACTTTTGTATTTGGTCTACTATGTGAAGAGATGATACTCTAGGTAGTTTTAAAAATCATTGAATGGTTAATTTGCTTATTAGCATTATAAAGATTTGACATGAACTAGTTAAATGAAAAGCATTAGTCTTATTGGGGCATAGAATCCAAAGAAGTACTACTATAACTCAAATGAGCCAGCTCAACTATTAGAATATAGCCAGTGTTCTTCCTTTTTCAGAATTGTGAAATGCCTGACTTTGGGGGCACATAAAATTATATAGCTCTTGTGCGATAGCTGTTACTGGTTGGACTAAGTTTTTTAGGTCAAAATTCTAGGACTTGGTGATTTAAACTTTGAGCCTTAGTATGCGGTTGACAATATATGTTGTTAACTCTTCAACTGGGTAGCTGAGTAGATTTCTGAAATGATTTACCACATATGTAGTACATGTACAATATATATATAATGTATGCATATATAATCAGGTAATTAGTAGTTTTCCTTAATAATGACTTTTTACCTATACTGACTTTTACCTTTCAGATATTGTGATTGCTTTGCAAATGGTGAATTTTGCAACAACTGCAATTGTACTAATTGTTATAACAATTTGGAACATGAAAATGAAAGGCAAAAAGCAATAAAGGTGATTATTTTTTATTTCATTTAACTGACAGAAATATCCAGTTTCACCAATTTTTTAAATAACTCAGTTGTCTTGCAAAGAAACATTTCAATTCCTTTTGCAGTGTTTAAATTTCATCTACTGTGATTTAACTCTGATATTTGATCTGTTTTGCTAGGCATGCCTTGACAGAAATCCAGAAGCCTTTAAGCCTAAGATTGGGAAAGGAAAGGAGGGAGAATCTGATCGACGTCATAGCAAAGGATGTAATTGCAAACGATCAGGATGTCTTAAAAACTACTGTGAATGCTATGAGGTGAGATGCTGGGTGGTGAAAATAATATCTTTTAAGATATTTTAGAAAAGACATACTACAAAAATTTACTTGAAAATTGGGAAATCACCTTGCTATTGCAGTTTGAAAATATGCGCAGTTGGCACAGAGGCCCTTGTTTGAGGAAATATGAGGCAGGCTTTCGAGCCTCCTTAGCAGGGCTTCGGAGGAATACCTTGGGTTTACTATTACAGCCTGGAGTCTTATTGGGTGATTTACCATAACTTCTTGGCCATTATGCCCAGAAATATGCATGCAGATCAGAACACCAATATACTGATTTTCAATAAAAATAATAGTATCAAAGTGGATTGGAAACTCTCCAGCAGTGATTCTCACCTGAGGTGCAGTTCTTATTGTTCTTCACAGGCTTCTTAGAAATATATGGCCGGGCACGGTGGCTCACACCTGTAATCCCAGCACTTTGGGAGGCAGAGGCGGGCAGATCACTTGAGGTCAGGAGTTCGAGACCAGCCTGGCCAACATGGTGAAACCCCGTCTGTACTAAAATACAAAAATTAGCTGGGCATGGTGGCGGGCGCCTGTAATCCCAGCTACTCAGGAGGCTGAGGCACGAGAATCGCTTGAACCCGGGAGGTGGAGGCTGCAGTGAGCCGAGATCATGTCACTGCACTCTAACATGGGCAACAGAGCAAGACTCTGTCTTAGATAGACAGACAGACAGACAGACAGACAGACAGACAGACAGACAGATAGATAGATAGATAGATAGATAGATAGATAGAAAGAAAGAAACAAACAAACAAACAAAATAGCCTGCATCCCACGGTACAGTCTGGAAATTAAAGGATTATCTTGACCAAAATGCTGGTTATGCCCACTCGAAAAGCACACTGCTCTGTGGAAAACCAAAGTATGTTAAGAAGTTTGCTTTGTGAGCATAAAAATAGGAAAGGGGGATCTGGCACATTGCCGGATGAGGTTACTGGTCACGGCAGGCAATTGTCTCCATTTTCACTGTTTTGTTGTTCCACTGAGCTGGTTCTTTTTACTTCTGGGTCAGGCATCTTCTCTGGAAGATGTAGTTGAAACTCTGCTTTGACAAAAGGCATGTAAATCTTCCCCTTCTTGCTTTAGACACAGTTCTATATAGTTTTATTTTAGAAGCTTATATGTAACCATCTAGTGATTGAGATTAACCCTAGATTACCATAATTGGTTTCTGGGTATGCCTGAAACTTTACTGACAGTGTTTTGGGTGGTTGTGTTATTCCTGTTCTTGGCTCTTCTCATACTCTCATATATTTTCATTCTTTCTTATTCTCAAGAGAGAATTAATTAATTAGTTTATTTATTTATTGGCAGAAAGCCTAGCTTTGCACTTGCTGAAGGTTTGCCCTGCCACAGGAGCATGTCCTCCAGTTCAATGCCCTCTCCTATGCAGCATGTGTCACATGAAAGATTTTGTGCATTGCATTTGCTGTGAATGCAAATGAATTCTTTCCTAATCTACTTATTTACAAAGTCAAATACTCCTCTCAGGAAGTAAAGTAGGAGAGTAACATCTTGTGAGTTCTGCAGATGATCTGAATGAAAATTGCATAGACAAGTTTTTTTTTGTTGTTGTTGTTGTTTTGCGACGGAGTCTTGCCCTGTCGCCCAGGCCGGAGTACAGTGGTGTGATCTTGGCTCACTGTAATCTCCACCTCCTGGGTTCAAGTGATTCTCCTGCCTCAGCTTCCCAAGTAGCTGGGATTACTGGCACCTGCCACCATGCCCAGGTAAGTTTTGTATTTTTTTTTTTAATAGAGACAGGGTTTCACCACGTTGGCCAGGTTGGTCTCGAACTCAAGTGATGTACCCACCCATCAGCCTCCCAAAGTGTTGGGATTACAGGCGTAAGCCACCGTCACAACTCGATTTTTTAAACTGTCTTAAGGAACATCTCCAAATCCAACAAGCCAGTTTCATCCAGTGTTGGAATCTTTTTTAGTCTTTCTTCTTTTGAATACCTGATGAAATAGCTAGCTTGCGTTTAGAAGCCATACAAAAGTTGTCATGAATATGTATGTAAAAATTAACACTTTTTTTTTTTTTTTTTTGAGCCGGTGGCTCACTCTGTTGCCAAGGCTGGAGTGCAGTGGTGCGATCTCAGGTCACTGCAAGCTCCGCCTCCTGGGTTCACACCATTCTCCTGCCTCAGCCTCCCAAGTAGCTGGGACTACAGGCACCCGCCACCACACCTGGCTAATGTTTTTGTATTTTTTAGTAGAAACGGGGCTTCACCGTGTTAGCCAGGATGGTCTTGATCTCCTGACCTTGTAATCCGGCCGCCTCGGCCTCCCAAAGTGCTGGGATTACAGGCGTCAGCCACTGCACCCGGCCAACACTTCTTTTGAGAACGTGGAAATTTATGTAAAGTTGGATCAGAAGGGCAAAGCGACCCTTTCATGTATATGGCATTGAATAATCAATACATGCTGGGCATATGAAATTCAGACATATATGAACTAACCATTTAATTGAACTGGTTAACAAATCTGTGAATTAATAGAAGTAGAAAAGGTACTGGACTGGTTGAAAAGTTTGAAGAGAGAGCCCTGCCCTACCTATTCTAATGAAGTTTTGTCAGGACAGATACACTGTCTAGTAACAAATTGATCATTCCAAAAGTTATGTACCAAAAAATGGAGAAACTTAGAATATACTAAACTATGAATAGCAGCGGCTAATTGGCTGTAAATTAGCTGTGGGCTTATCTGACATTTTGTGTTGTTCTTTTGACACCTTTCTCTTCAGCTGAATTGGCTTTTTAATCCCGTTGGTTTGCATCTGGACAACACATTCATGTTTCCTTTCAGTGCCTATAGGCTTGCTGATTGGATGAATGGCTACCCACCTTATTTCATGGTTGTGTCTTTTCTTGTGACCTTTTTCCTCCCGTCCACGTCTTTTTTTTTTTTTTTGTACAGGGGAAGTTAAATTAGCCAAGCTAAGTGTCATTGTAATTTCTCCATCCTGAGCTCCGGTTAGACACTATTAATGTCTTTCTTATGGTTCTTAAAATATAAAGAGAATTTAAAAAAAAAAAAAAAATATATATATATATATAAAATCTAAATTACCATTATTGGTATGTTTTCCCCACTCTGAGGTCAGGAATTTTCTCTCTTCATCACTAGATGCTTATTAAGTATTGCTTTAGTTAGATTACTAGTCAGGCTCACAGTAACCCAGTTAACACAAACTTATATCCATTTATTCCTTAAATGGAATTTATTGGTGTCTTATAAGAAAGGAGCAGAGTAAATGTGTTTATAATGCAGTCCATTTATCTTACTAGGTGGTATAGAGAGAAAGGACAGTTTTATTTATTTATATAGACATGGGTTCACTGAAGAAAATGCAGCTAACAAAAACATACTCAAATTCATTAGAAATCAGGGAAATATAAATTAAAGAACAGTGAAATCTCACTTTATCACCCACACCATCAGATTATAAATTTTTTTTTTTTTTTTTGAGACAGTTTCATTCTTGTTGCCCAGGCTGGAGTGCAGTGGCGTGATCTCGGCTCACCACAACCTCCACACCTCCAGGGTTCAAGCGATTCTCCTGCCTCAGCCTCCCGAGTAGCTGAGATTACAGGCATGTGCCACTGGCTAATTTTTTTTTCTCTTTAGCAGAGACGGGGTTTCTCCATGTTGGTCAGGCTGGTCTTGAACTCCCGACCTCTGGTGATCCTCCCACCTCAGCCTCCCAAAGTGCTGGGATTACAGGCGTGAGCCACCATGCCTGGCATAAAATGTTAAAAGGAATTATAATATCCATTGTTGGAGGGAATGTGGGAAATCCTTCCTTTACACATCGCTGATGAGATGTGAGGTATTACAGCCGTTTGAAAAAGCAATCTGGCCGGGCGCGGTGGCTCACGCCTGTAATCCCAACACTTTGGGAGGCCAAGGCAGGCGGATCACTAGGTCAGGAGATCGAGACCATCCTGGCTAACACAGTGAAACCCCTCTCTACTAAAAATGCAAAAAATTAGCTGGGCGTGGTGGTGGGAGCCTGTAGTCCCAGCTACTTGGGAGGCTGAGGCAGGAGAATGGTGTGAACCCAGGAGGCGGAGCTTGCAGTGAGCTGAGATCGTGTCACTGCACTCCAGCCTGGGTGGCTGAGCGAGACTCCGTCTCAAAAAAGAAAAAAAATTAAAATACATGACCTGTTATCCAGTGAGCCCAATTCTAGAAATCTAACTCAGAGAAATAAAAAGGCATAATGTATACCAAAAAAAATACTCTTTATGCATCATTTGTGGTACCCAAGAACTGGAAACAAAAATAAACACCCATCAACAGGGAAAATGAAAGGCAAAAAAAATAGACACATCATACCAGGGATTTACACTTAGCCGTTAAATACAATGAATTCAAGCTATGCCAGATGACTTTGGAGGGATTCCATGAGTTGTAGTATAAGAAAAGCAAGATGCAGAAAAGCAGGTATATGACTTTGAAAAACTAAAAAGTGAAAGTTCTGTATTTGTGTATATACATAAGGTCTACGGTTTTATATAAATATATGACATTTTTACATGAAAATATATATTTATATAAAATGTAAAACACACCCTAGTTTCATATGGGTTATTGAAGGGTTTTGGGAATCTGAAGTCCCTCCCGAACTCCCTCTTCAGATTAAAATAGCATAATAGAATAATAAAAAATAGCATCTATGAAATCCCTTTAATATGAAATTATATACATATGCATAAATGGGAGATCATCTACATGTTAGTGATGATTTGATTGAGGTGGCTGGATTCTGGATGACCCTTATTTTTGATATTTTAATGTATCATTCATGTTATGAGAAACATGTGTTATTCATATCTGAGGAAAATCTATATCCATAGTGGGGGAAAACTGACGTGGAAGGACACAGCCACAAATGTTATACAGCCACTGTCAGACTTAAGAATACCTAACCTAGCTAGCCACATGTGTAGTTACTGTTTGTCAGCCAGAGATGCTTCCATCTAATCTTATTATCAGTTGACCAGGTAATGCTATTAGCTGTTGATTTGATCATGGCATCTACTTCCAGTAATGTATTTTGGTTTTGATTTGGAAACTTTTCTTTTGTAAATCTTTTAGGCAAAAATAATGTGTTCCTCAATATGCAAATGTATTGGCTGTAAGAATTTTGAAGAAAGCCCGGAAAGGAAGACATTGATGCATTTGGCAGATGCAGCTGAAGTAAGGGTACAGCAACAAACAGCAGCCAAGACGAAGTTATCCTCTCAAATTTCAGACTTGCTTACTAGGCCAACACCAGCTTTAAATAGTGGAGGCGGAAAGTAAGTCAGTATTTTAATCTTTTTATAGTATTTCCCAAATACTCACTTTTGATAAAGTTTCTTTTCAGGGGGCAAAGTTGAGTTTATACTTTTGGTTGTTGCAAACCTGATTTTTGCATTTTCTTTCCATCTTTAGTTACCTGTAAAGGAATTTAAAGGTAACAGAAGCCACTGTCAGATTATTGGGCAGTTCGAAAATGCACAGTAATGATTTAGTCCACTGTGCTTAATTTCTACTAAGATGAGGTAATTATGTAATTTGAGGAATCCCAAAGAAAACCAGATGTTTCATATGTCTCGCTGAACGTGTAATTATTGTTTTTGCATTTTCTTACCTTCTCTTGCCTCTTCCATTTCTTGGAGCAGTTTTCCCATCCTATTGGGCCACCCATCACACTGTAATAGTGCAGCTCCTTATTGTTATCTCTTATCTGCTGAGTTCTGGAGTAGAAAAGCTTGACCTCTAAAGTCAGGTAGACTTGAGTTTATACTATCTGTGCTGCTTAGTAGTTTGTGAATTTCTTTGAGCCTCAGTTTTCTTGTCCTTAAAATAGCCTATACCAGGTGGCTGTGAGAAATAAGGCATGTCTGTAATATCTGCAGTGTCTGTCAAGACCTGATAAAACATAGTTTGTGATTTGGACTGGACTGGTATTAGAAAGTTTGTTAGAGGTTAATTTGAGGAATTATTAAATGGAATGCACCTTGCAAATGGCATATGATTTAAAATGCCTAAGTAGGCCAGGCACGGTGACTCACGCCTATAATCCTCGCACTTTGGGAGGCCGCGGTGGGCGGATCACCTGAGGTCAAGGGTTTGAGACCAGCCTGGCCAACGTGGTGAAACCCCATCTCTACTAAAAATACAAAAAGTTAGCTGAGTGTGTGGTGCACGCTTGTAATCCCAGCTACTCGGGAAGCTGACACAGGAGAATCGCTTGGGCCCGGGAGGCAGAGGTTGCAGTGAGCCGAGATCGCACAATTGCACTCCAGACTAGGCAACGAGAACAAAACTCCATCTCAAAAATAAAATGCCTAAGTTGAAAAGGAGATCCAGTGCTTATAAAAATAAGGCTTTTTTTTTTTTTTTTCAAATATTTAAGATACTAGTTTTTTGTTTTTTTTTTTCTCTTTTCTTTTTGAGAGATAGTCTCACTCTGTTGCCCAGGCTGGTGTGCAGTGTCATGATCTCAGCTCAGTGCAATCTCCGCCTCCTGGGTTTAAGCAATTCTCCTGCCTCAGCCTCCTAAGTAGCTGGGAATTCAGGCATACACCACCACGCCCAGCTAATTTTATGTATTTTTAGTAGAGATGAGGTCTGTGTTGGCCAGCCTGGTCTTGAATACCTGACCTCAGGTGATCTGTCCATCTCAGCTTCCCAAAGTGCTGGGATTACAGGAGTGAGCCACCGCACCTGGCCTTAAGATATTAAGTCTAAAGAACTCTTATGACTGGAATATAAGCAGCAAATAGTTTTTGACTGAATAAAGTGGAAATGGTCAGACACCTTAATGAGGCTTATAACCTGGGATTCTGGTCTTTAGAGTACTGAATATAATCTCCACATGGAGATTAAAGATACTGCCACAGTAAAATATTTATAATTTTTTAAAATTGGGAAGATGTTTAGGATACGAAAACAAAATTATAAAATTATACATTATAATCAAAACTACATATTAAAAACTTGTATAAAAAAAGTTATGCTAGCATGTTAACAAGCTGTTTCAAGTGACCAAAACCTTAAATTAATATTTTCTAGTTTAAAATGCTGGTTTGTATGTTAAAGATTCCTATACAGCTGCATGGCAGCCTGAATTCTCAATTACCCTTTCTTGCCATAGTGAGCTTTAATTTCAGACTTCATCGTTTAGTATACTTGTTAGTGACCACTTACTCACAGGTTGTTGAGTTCGTGGTTAGAGTATGTTGCTTGACTTAATCTGTCACAGGCTTTAAGACTTGAGTTGGCTGCAAATATAGCAAGCCTCACGATGGGCTGCTCCAATTTAATACTCAATAGCTCAGGTCTTTATGAATGCAACTCTGTGTAGAACAGCATTTGGTTTCCCCATTTTGTTTTGTTGTGATAGAACAATGCAGAATTTTGGAACGTTTTCTACAAACAGTATCAGTGACTATGGTAAAGTACTTTATTTTTCATTTTGCTCAAGAGATAGTGCTGTCAATTCCCAATATTATTCATTTAGCAACTATACATGTAGTGTCTCTATGTCATGCACTATTCTAGGCACTGGAGCAACAGCAGTAAATAAAAATTGAACTTTTGGAGCGTACATTCATGATTTGGGAGGATTTTAGTTAAATTCTAGTCTTCATGTAGACTATTATCTTTTAGTTAACCACATAACCTTGCCTAGGTAGTAAGTCATGTGTTTTATATGTTAAATTTTCTGAACAACATTCTTACAGTATGTGAATAATAAAACCAAATCTAACTTTTTAAAGCCCTTTTTAGGATGTGCTTGTGCTCACTGTGTCAATTGTGATGCTCATCCTGCTGGTGAATTGTGAAAGTGTCAGTAGAGATTTCCAGATGAAAGAATGTATCCACTTTTGCTGTTATTTAACACCACCATCATCTTTCTCTTTCAAAAATCATTTCAGATTGCCATTTACATTTGTAACTAAGGAAGTAGCTGAAGCCACATGTAATTGCCTCCTTGCCCAGGCAGAGCAGGCAGACAAGAAGGGAAAATCAAAGGCAGCAGCGGAACGGATGATACTCGAGGAATTCGGACGATGTTTGATGAGTGTCATCAACTCTGCAGGAAAGGCAAAAAGTGACCCTTGTGCCATGAATTGCTAACTCTTGCACAAAAGACTGATAAATGGAACTGTACAGAAAATTTAAGGTGCAGGGACACTTGATTTTCTGCAAGAAAAACAATTACTGTATTTTAATTCAGTCCTTGTTTTAAAAGACCTGAAATTATAATACTGAAGAGGAAGAAATTTTAAATGAGGAAATTAGTACATTTTAAATCTTAGTTAAATCTGCTTATGCCCCTTCTAAATTGAATTTTTCTTTATTATATAGATTTTTTAATTTGCTTGGGTTTCTTAAGAATTAGATGTTCACTTTCTGATACCTTTAACAAAAAATGTTTATAAATTCATATAATTTATAATGTATGGTGTTGTATGACTTTGTTAGTAGAAAAGCCAAAGCAGCAATGGTTAGCACCCATTCTTTGGGACTTGATCTAGAATATATGCAGACAGAATGTTACATAAACAAGTTCTTATGAAACACATTCAAATGACATTTTGTATTTAGAATAGGACTATCTTTTAAAGAAAAATCAGCCTTTCTGGGCAGATTCTGGAATAATATCCTGTTGTCACTTTGGGAATGTCAGAAGGGGAAATAATCCCCAGGCACACTTTAAAAAATTTTTAAAGTTATTTAAAAAAAAAAACATATAAAATATTAAAGGACAGTAAATAATTCTCAGAGGATGGGCAATGTGTTTCTGTCATAAGGAATGGCTAACAGATGCTCTGGGCTCTCTCCCTTTTCTTTCAAAGGGGTGGTATGTATTTGAAGAAATAAATTGTCAAAGTGATTACTGGGTACTACTAAAATGATAGGTAGATATAAATAGAAGTAAACATATTATGTAGTGATAATATAGAACCTAACATAGTAATCAAGTATAAAATTTGGCATGGGTGGAGAAACAAAGACTAGGGAAGCTACAAAAGATGAATTTAGAGAAGTTTTCATCTATACAATCAGTCATTTTTATAGACTTTTTTTTTTTTTTTTTTTTTTTTTTTGAGACAGAGTCTCACTGTGTAGCCCAGGCTGGAGTGCAATAGTGCGATCTCAGCTCACTGCAACCTCTGCCTCCCGGGTTCAAGCGATTCTTCTGCCTCAGCCTCCCGAGTAGCTGGGACTACAGGCACCCGCCAGCATGCCCGGCTAATTTTTTGTATTTTTAGTAGAGACGGGGTTTCACCGTGTTAGCCAGGATGGTCTCAATCTCCTGACCTCGCAATCCGCCCGCCTCGGCCCCCCAAAGTGCTGGGATTACAGGCGTGAGCCACCATGCCCGGCCCTTTTTATAGATTTTGGAACTAAGAGGTTTCAGATCAATTCACAACTCTTACTTGATTTACAGAAATGGGCCTGCTAACAAAATTTTCAAAATTGCAGTGGGATTTCTTTTTATAAGGGAAGTTTAATATGACATTATTTTCAGCCAGTGATTTGGAAGGTCTGTTTTCCTATAATTACTAAAATAACCTAAATCATTTTCAGTAATTCAAAAACTATGAATTTAAGAGCCTGCTGTAACAGGACTCTTGATTTTATGACAAGAAAAAACCATGTTGGAATTCAGGCATTTTGTTAGGTACCTTAATTGTCAGTAATTAGTATATGATTATTGCATTTCCTACAAGGACTCTATAGTTGTATGTATTAAGTGTGTATATATGTTCATATGAACACACAAGATATAGGCAATAGAAATTAAGTAATCTAAAAGAGGATTCCGTTATTCACTAAAGTATCTTCCTTTTAAATTTGGATTTATAAAATCATAGTGCAGTAACTTTAAATGTAGATAGTGCAAACATTCTTAGCACCTCAATCTAGTATGTTTAATTAAAATTTGTATAAATGTAAATTAGTGTAAGAGGGTAAAATAATCAAGTTATTTTTCAAAAGACTGCAATAAGTTTTTGGTCTAAACTTAAACTTTGTTCATTTTGTACATACTCTGTGTTAATTCTAATTGCACCTTTGTGATGTGTATTTATATACAGTGTGCAGAAAATGTTCGTGAAATTTTGATTACAATTGTAGATTATGTATGATGGCATTGCTTACGAATGTTTTGCTTGTAAAAAAATTTCAAGGTGCAATCAAATGCTACTAGTTTTTCTGATTTTCAAAAATCTATCTAAATCCTTCCTGTGTAGTACTTACTAAACAACTTTTTGTATTCAGGCATTTGCATCAAATTGCTGAACAAGATGAACAGCCACATTAATTCAGTGATTTTAAAAGACTATTTGGGGAGGGTTGGGTATATAATTTTTTAGCTCTATTTACATCCCAAAGTAGAAAGATTAAATTTATATTTACTAGAGCTATTCAAAGAATACACTTTTCTATATTGTAAAAACAGGACAGCAAAGTAAATCATACAGAAAATAAACATTTATACTATTCTGTAAAAAAAAAAGGTTTTGCATTTTTTCTTTAGTTTAATAACACCACTTTAACCATTTAATATGCAAGAAACCTTTTAAATTATCTGAAGTAAATTTGACATTACTTCTGAAAACACACAACTAAAATATTCTACCATTTTGCTCAGTTATTACTAACATAAATTGCTTTGAAATGAGAATTTGTCTTCTCTTTCTTCCCTACTGTTTAACAACAGAAATTCAGCTGGGCATGGTGGCTCACGCTTGTAATCCCAGCACTTTGGGAGGCCAAGGCGGGTGAATCACTTGAGTCCAGGAGTTCTAGACCAGCCTGGGCAACATGGTGAAACTCTGTCTCTACTAAAAATACAAAAAAATTAACTGGGTGTGGTGGCACACGCCTGTACTCCCTGCTAATTGGGAGGCTGAGGTGGGAGGATCACCTGAGCCTGGGGAGGGTGAGGCTGTAGTGAGTCAAAATTATACCGCTGTACTCTAGCCTAGCAATCAGAGCGAGACCTTGTCTCAAAAACAAAAACAAAAATACCCAGGAAATCAATCTACTCTGTCTTTTAATGTGAGATGTTCTTATGATAGCTATCTTTCTCAGTTTCCTTTTTTCTGAAGCACTAAACACAACCTGTAGGTCTTATCTCTGGGGTCTGGGAAACAGAACCTTAATGTTACAGGTACAGGTACAAAAGCAAACAGAGTGATTGGGGAGGTGGGAAGGACATACTCCTTAGTTCCCCATTTTCTGGTAGTGGACAACTGACATTTTTTCAATCTTATGTAAAATGTGAATAAAAATACTTTTAGAAAAGTTACCTATTTTTATTGTTCTGTAACACAAATAGTTAAGAAAATGAATACCAGTTATGTAAATGAAGCTTCACAGCAGGACCTCCAGCCTAACTCTGATCATATTGTATCTCTTAAGCATTTTCTATAGGAATTCTGGTGTGGCCACCCAAAGCAGAGGGAAGGCAATCAGCTAAAAATCCCTTACTATTGGAGTTATTTTCATCGTGTAAATTACTTAAGGCTTTTCTTGTAAGGGCTTCTTGAATGCACATTTTGTCATTATCTGTAGACCAAAGGTGAGCTTTTTTTTTTTTTATCTATGTGATTTTATAAGTTGAAAGCTATAAGGTATTTTTTTAATTAAAAATTTCCTTCTAAATGGCAAATTTTATGAGAGCATTTAAGACACTCTTAGTTTCTATTCAAAAGCAATAAGAAAACAATTGTATATTTAGGGTAATGTTTATTATAAGGTCACAGGGATTTTATAAAACTGTCATTTGTCATACTCGCATATGAAATCTGATCCTAATATTATAAAAAGAATACATCATGACCAAGTAGGGTTTATCCCAGGAATAAAAGGCTGATCCAATGTTTAAAAAAAAATCAACGTAGTTCACTGTATCAGCATACAAATAAGAAAAGCCAAATGATCATCTCAAAAGTTGCAGAAAATGACTGTGGATATAGGAAGAACTGCTAAATTGTATGTTTGTTTGTTTCTTGAGATGGAGTCTCACTCTGTCGCCCAGGCTGGAGTGCAGTGGTGCGATCTCAGCTCACTGCAACCTCTGCCTCCCGGGTTCAAGCAATTCTCACGTCTCAGTCACCTAAGTAGCTGGGACTACAGGCGCACGCCACCATGCCTGGCTAATTTTGTATTTTTTAGTAGTGATGGGGTTTCACTATATTGGTCAGGCTAGTCTCCAACTCCTGACCTCAGGTGATCCACCCTCTTTGGCCTCCCAAAGTGCTGGGATTACAGGCGTGAGCCACTGTGCCCAGCCACTATATGCTTATTTAAGAGGGTGAATATTATGGTTACGTCAATTTGATCTCAAAAATTGTTTTTACCCAAAAGGTGCAGAAAAAAGTATCTGGTAAAATTCAACAGCCACATATGATTCAATAAACAAAAAAATAAAGTCTTCAGAGAACTAAGACTAAACCTGATGAAGACCATTTGCAAAAAAAGCCTGAGCTAACATACAAATGGTGAAGAATGCCTTCCTGTAAGACTGGGAGCAAGGCATTCTTATTCAACACTGTAGCGCACTGTGCAATAAGGCAGGTGGGAAAAAGGCCCACAGATTGGAAATAAATAAATAAGACAGTATCTATTTGATGATATGAATCCCTATACAGAAAAACCAAAGAATCTAAAAAGTACTAGAATAATTTAGCAAAATCAGTATGCAAAAGTTGACTACTTCTGCGTAGTAGCAATGAATGTTTAGAAACAAATCTTTAAATCACCACTTACAGATTTCAGAAAACATGAAATCTAACAAAAATATGTAAGATCTGTGCTGAAAAGTAAAAAACTGATGAAAAAAATCAAAGAACTTACAAAAAGAAGATGAAAAAAAAGAACCTACAAAAAGAAGATATACCATGTTTCATGGATTTGAAGATTCTATATTATTAAGATGTCAATTCTCTCCACATTGATCTATAGATTTAACACAACTTCAGTCAAAATCCCAGCAGGAATTTTTTTTTTTTTTTGAGACAGAGTCTGGCTCTGCCGCCCAGGCTGGAGTGCAGTGGCCGGATCTCAGCTCACTGCAAGCTCCGCCTCCCGGGTTCACGCCATTCTCCTGCCTCAGCCTCCCGAGTAGTTGGGACTACAGGCGCCCGCCACCGCGCCCGGCTAGTTTTTTTTATTTTTTAGCAGAGACGGGGTTTCACCGTGTTAGCCAGGATGGTCTCTATCTCCTGACCTCGTGATCCGCCCGTCTCGGCCTCCCAAAGTGCTGGGATTACAGGCTTGAGCCACCGCGCCCGGCCCCCAGCAGGAATTTTTATAGAAATCAACAAGCTGATGATAAAACTTATATGGAAAGGGGCAACCAGAACAGCCAAAATATTTTTGGAAAAAGAACAAAGTTGGAGAACTCCCACCTAATTTCAAGACAGATAAAACTAGAGTAATTAAGACAGTGTGGTAGTGGATAGATCCTATTTATCAGTTGAAGAGAATAGAGACCCCACATATATATAGTTGGTTTTTTATAATTGCACAAAAGTAGTTCAATGGGGATAGTTTTTTAAACAAATGGGGCTGGCATATCCATATGTAAAAATATGGACTTCATGGCTAGGCGCCGTGACTCATGCCTGTAATCCCAGCATTTTGGGAGGCCGAGGCAGGTGGATCACTTAAGGTCAGGAGTTCAGACTATCCTGGCCAACATGGCAAAACCCCATCTCTACTAAAAACACAAAAATTAGCCAGGTGTGGTGGCACACACTTGTAGTCTCAGCTACTCAGGAGGCACAGGAATCACTTGAACCCAGGAGGTGGAGTTGCAGTGAGCCAAGATCATGTCACACTGCTCTCCAGCCTGGGCAAAAGAGCGATACTCGGTCTCAAAAAAAAAAAAAAAAAAGAACCTCAACTCATATACCAAAGTTAACTGAGAATGAATGATAGCTTACATGTAAAACCTAAAACTACTAAATATTGAGAAGAAAACCTAAGAAAAATCTGTGACCTTGGGTTAGGCAAAGATTTTAGTATAAAACTAAGATTCCCAAAAAGAAAAAAATTGAAAAACTGGACTTACCAAAATTAATTACATCTGCTTTTCAAAAGACACTGTTAAGAAAATAAAAAAAGCCACAGACTGAGAAAAAAATAATTGCAAAACACATCTGATAATGCACTTATATCCAGAATATGTAACTAATGCTCAGTAAGAAAAGAGCCAATCTTCCAAAATATGAACAAAAGACTTGAGCAGACCTTTCACCTAAGATGATACGTGATGGCAAAGCAGCATATGAAAAGGTGCCCCACATCATTGGTTATTAGGAAAATGCAAGTGAAAACTACAATGAAATAGCACTAGACACCTATTAGAATGGCTACTTTAAAACAGACCAAAATCCTGACAATATCAAGTACTAAGAAGTAGTGCAATGGGAACATTGATATATTGCTGGCCAGAATGCAAAATGATATTCACTTTGCAAGTTTTGGCGGTTTGTTATAAGGTTAAACATATACTTACCCATCTTGTGGTTATAGCACATTTTGTTGTTTTCATTAATCAGTCGATGGACATTTAGGCTTTTTCCCACTTTTTGGCTACTATCAATGAAGTTCACGTACACATTTTTGTGTGGACGTTTTCATTTCTCTTGGGTATATGCCTAGGAGTACAATTTGCTAGGTCATAGGTAACTCTAAGCTTTTGAGGAACTGCCAGGCTATTTTCCAAAGCTGCTGCACTAGCTGGACTATTTTACATTCTCACCAACAAAAGTGTATGAGGGTTCTAATTTCTCCACATTCTTGCCAATACTATGTCTTTCCTTTTTTTTTTTTCCTTTCAGAGATGGGGGTCTCACTCTTTATATTGTCCAGGCTGGTTTTAAACTCCTGGGTTCAAGCAATCCTCCAATCTCAGCTTCCCAAATGCTGGGAGTTGAGGCATGAGCTACTTGTGCCTGGCCATGTCTTATTTTTTTTTGAGACGGAATCTTGCTCGTTGCCCAGGCAGGAGTGCAGTGGCATGATCTCAGCTCACTGCAACCTCCGCCTCCCGGGTTCAAACGCTTCTCCTACCTCAGCCTCCTGAGTAGCTGGGATTACAGGGTTTCATCATGTTGCCAGGCTGATCTCAAACTCCTGACCTCAGGTGATCCACCCGCCTCAGCCTCGCAAAGTGCAAGGATTACAGGCATGGGCCACTGCGCCCGGCCTCGATGTCTTCTTTATAATAGCTGTCCTAACAGGTGCGATGTGATATTTCATTGTCATATTGATTTGCATTTTCCGGATAGCTGATGTGAACATATATTCATGTGTTTTATGGCCTTCTGTATATCTCCTTTGGAGAAAAATTCATATTCTTTACCCATTTAAAAATTTTGGTTATTTGTCCTTTTGAGTCATAGGAATTCTTTGTAGATTCTAGATATAACTTTATTAGATAAATGATTTGCAAACATTTTTTTCCATTCAATGGGTTGTCTTTCACTTTCTTGATGGTATCCCTTCAAAGCACAAGTTAATTTTGATGAAGTACAATTATTTTCCTTTGCTGTGCTTTAAGTGTCTTAAGAAACCACTACCTGGCCAGGCACAGTGGCTCACACCAGTAATCCCACCACTTTGGGAGGCTGAGGTGGGTGGATCATGAGGTCAGGAGTTCAATACCAGCCTGGCCAACACAGTGAAATCCCGTCTCTACTAAAAATACAAAAATTAGCCGGGCATGGTGGTGCATGCCTGTAGTCCCAGCTACTCGGGAGGCTGAGGCAGGAGAATTGCTTACACCCGGGAGGTGGAGGTTGTGGTGAGCCAAGATCCCTCCACTGCGCTCCAGCCTGGGCAACAGAGCGAGACTCTGCCTCAAAAAAAAGAAAAAAAGAAAAAGTAACCACCACCTAATCCAATTCTCAAAGTTTAACTCTATATTTTCTACAAGTTGTATAGCCTTACCTCTTCTATTCAGGTCTTCGCTTCATTTCAAGTTAATTTTTTTGCATGTGAATAACCATTTCTCCTAGCACTAGTTATTGGAAAGTAGGATAAATTTTTTTTTTTTGAGACAGAGTCTCGCTCTGTCGCCCAGGCTGGAATGCAGTGGCCGGATCTCAGCTCACTGCAAGCTCTGCCTCCTGGGTTTATGCCATTCTCCTGCCTCAGCCTCCCGAGTAGCTGGGACTACAGGGGCCCGCCACCTTGCCCGGCTAGTTTTTTGTATTTTTTAGTAGAGACGGAGTTTCACCAAGTTAGCCAGGATGGTCTCAATCTCCTGACCTCGTGATCCACCCGTCTCGGCCTCCC